CGATGCCGGCCATTTTAGCCATTTTGGCTAATTTCAGAAAAATGCTAATTATTCCCAAACTAAGACAGATATTTGAGTTCCGTTTTTTCTGACATGTCGAGAGGGTCAATGCGGATATTCCCTGTGAATTTCAACTTGATAGCTTGCATACTTTGAAAGTTATAGCGTTTTTTCGATTTTGGCCAAATTTGCCTTGGTCCCCCAGGCTGAGCTTTTTGGGGTTTTTTCCGAAGTGTTTCCGATTTTGGTTTTATGTGGTTTTTTGAAGTCCCTTGGGTCCAAATGATAGGAAATGAGTAGAATTGGGCAATTCTGAGGAATTTCGATGCCGGCCATTTTAGCCATTTTGGCTAATTTCAGAAAAATGCTAATTATTCCCAAACTAAGACAGATATTTGAGTTCCGTTTTTTCTGACATGTCGAGAGGGTCAATGCGGATATTCCCTGTGAATTTCAACTTGATAGCTTGCATACTTTGAAAGTTATAGCGTTTTTTCGATTTTGGCCAAATTTGCCTTGGTCCCCCAGGCTGAGCTTTTTGGGGTTTTTTCCGAAGTGTTTCCGATTTTGGTTTTATGTGGTTTTTTGAAGTCCCTTGGGTCCAAATGATAGGAAATGAGTAGAATTGGGCAATTCTGAGGAATTTCGATGCCGGCCATTTTAGCCATTTTGGCTAATTTCAGAAAAATGCTAATTATTCCCAAACTAAGACAGATATTTGAGTTCCGTTTTTTCTGACATGTCGAGAGGGTCAATGCGGACATTCCCTGTGAATTTCAACTTGATAGCTTGCATATTTTTTTTTTTTTTTTTGACGACATTATGATTTTCAAAATTTACTTGGTTTAACGGTATATTTTTTTCTTTTCAATACTCATTTGATCTGATGGTACCATGACTTCTCTCTATTATCTAATTTTGGAAAACAAAGATTTAAACAAAATGAAATATCTATCATTTAATTATAATTGTATTGTGTATTTTATAATTGGATGGTTGAAAATGGACTTGGTTGATTTGGACTAACAGTTCTGGTCTAGTTGATCCAGACTTCAACTAATTAGAACCGAAGCTGTATTTGTGGTTAACAGTTCAGTCGTATCTTTCTAAGAAAGTTTTACAAGTACTAACTTTCGTACAATTTGGCATTGAATTTGACTGTTTTGTTGCATACACCATAAACTACTATTCAGTGATCTCCCATTTTTACTGTGCTGACAAACAAGTACGCGTTGAATAGTACATAGAAATTTCGTTTCAAAAATCAAACTTTTTTGTCTCAAAATTTCTGATTTTTGTACAATTAGATACGAGTAATTCCGAAAAAAACGTGTCTCTAAGGCATTGAATGTGCCGACTGATTAGACCAATAATCACCAATCAGTGTCAATCGGGTTGAATTTTAACTCAGTTGCATACAAGTGAACAGCGATTGGCCAATGCATATTCCTAGCCAATAACATTTCAGTATAGACATTCCTGTTTTCAATAAGAAGTGAGCTTTGATTACTCGACGACCAGTAGATTTTTTTTCTCTAACGTCACAATTAGGCCAATATTTAATACGAAATTCCCAATTGCATGCAATATATCTTAGAATCTGTACGGGTCCATATAAGGTCTGGTGATTTGACATATAAAAAAATCACACTTCCCTCCCAGGAATATCCAGTGAAAATGACAAATTGAATTTCGGCATTTTCAGATTGAAATATACCCCTTACCTTTTCAACAACCCAATGTACTAATTTTGGCTGGAAATTGTGCTCTGTAGGAACAAATAAAAAGTAATTTAACAAATTCAAAGACATTATGAGTGTGCCCATTACATTCTTATCACTTTAAAAACATCCTGAGACTAACAGTACTATTTTGAGACTGATATTCCAATTCTCGTAAAATAAAATACTGGGTATAATATTATTTAGCCTACCGACGAATATGCGGAGGCCTATATTATTTTAAGATATTAGGCCTAGGCCTAGGCCGCTTTTTTATAAAACGATAAAATTTTTCAGAAACTTAAACAGCCAAGCTATCCTGACACCCCTTTCGGACTATGGACTAGAATTTGATATTTACGATTATTAAGTTATTATTTTATAAAAAATGATATAATCCATAATTTAATCTTGGCAACTACTTCATTAGTGATTACGCTTATTATTTGGCGATTCGAATACGCAGCCTTTTCTTGTGATTCCCAATTAAATAGCTTTATACGAATGTAGTACAGCGAAAGGTGAAGGTCGTTTTAGATCTTAATGGTGGATTTATTTCATGATTTGTTTTGCGATTAATGGCAGAGTATGATATGAGACAGTGATGGCTGATGTTCAAGCAAAATATCAGAAACTTGCCACAGAATACGCAAAGGTAAACACAGTGTTGAAGATGTCTGCCTTGATATTTTGAAGAAAATGTAGCCATTGTGATTGACAGTTCCCTTCTTTGTAGTTTGTAAATAATGGGTGTCTAGTGTCAAGATACCTTTTATTACAATCTGACACGCCCACAATTTTACTGATGTCCAAAAATTCGAAAATTTGAATGTTTATGCAGTTTAGTAAAATATCAATGGTTAACAGGGTTATCCTATACTTATGCCTGGTTGGGGAGTTAGTCCAGCAATGAACTGTGTTTTTTTTACTCTGTAGGCCTATTCTGAATAGTATTCACAGTCCTGCATTAGTCACAAAAGTCTGCGACAATTCATGACAGCCAATCAAATCGATGATGGCCTGAAACAGCTAATCAAATCAATGATGGCATTTAGGTTAATGCGTAGGAATTTCATAATATGCACTACTTGCCAATGTTAAAGTTTGCGATAAATAAGCTTAAACATTAGGTGTGAATATGTGCAAATTTGAGCGATTACAAAGTGGAGATAAGGTACCAACGCTACCATAATACCATAGAAGTAGACAGTAGTACTACTACTGTCTACATATTTGACTTTTGACTATTGCCAAACCGATTCTGACTTGTAGTGTGTTAGGGGATATATACAATCACTTGGAAGGTATACCATTATGCTAATATAATAAGTCAATTTCTTTCATATTCTTTCACTAATATAGAAATCTCTGTCGTTTAAGGAATGTCATTTTGCAATATCTGGTGTAAAATTTTGTATAAGTTACTGTACTATAAGCGCAGCACCATCCCTGTTGATAAATGGTACATAAGGGACACAACTCTTGTCAGCTATTACATAGCGTCTTGGAAACTCTTCTCAATTTTCGTTAAGTGTGAAAACATGTATGTTTTTATCTGTAAAAGTCAAATTGGAACGATGAAATGGAAGAAATGTCTGTCCTGTCAGCAAGTATCATGGATGTCAGGGAAAATCAGATTAAAAAGCAGGACTTCTTATGATCATTGGAACTAAGAGCATTTACTTTTCTTGTTGCATCCCCTTCAAGATTTTTTTTTATTGCTTTCTACATTATAGCTGTCTGATATTTCAGTTGAAAGCTCAAATTCCAGTTTTGAAGAAAGCCTTTTTAGATGAACAAGAAGAAAAGACTGCTTTAAAGGTATGTTGATGATATTGAGGTGTCATTCTTGTCGTTGTATTCTATGCTTTCACTTAAACTTTCATGTGTAAAAGAAAGAAAAGAAACAAATATATTTTACAAGGATAAGAAGGATCCTATTTACCAGCTGGTCCTCTTGGCAGTAACCTTTCTGGAATATTTTGTATCTTAAAGATGGGTGTCTGTTGAATTAAGCAAAATATTTGATTAATTGGTGTTTCTTAAGAATTATCATGTATTCTTAATCATATCATTTTGTTCTTATTGCATATAATTAAGAGTTTTAACCAATCATAAATGTCCATGTATGTACAGTCTGGATAAACGAAAAAAGACTTTTTGACCTTTCTTGATCGGTCACTCATTGGAATTCTGACTGGTAATTCTCAATGAATTAATTATGGACATGTGAGACAAACTGGTATTTTTTCATAAATGAAAATAAAGGAACCCATCTTTAAACTTGTGTTTGCATCATATATCATACATGATCAAAAATGTACAGTATTTGACAAAGAAAATGTTAATATTATCATGTCTCTATCCTAGGACCTTTTAAAAGAAAAAGAACAAAGTGTCAGAAAATATGAATCTGAAACCGACAGTTTGTCCTTTCGCAATCAACAATTATCAAAACGTGTGTTATTATTGCAAGAAGAATTAGAAACTGCAGAAAGCAACAAGAAAAAACATAAAGTAAGTTTGGTTCTATTTTATTCTAAGAGCTTTCCAATTACATGCAAAGGATACAAAAGACACTTTCTTTCACCTTTTGGCACCATTCTAACTTTAGTTTCTATAAGTATAAAGGGGTTGACTGGGGGCCTTGAATCTGAGAGCGATTGAATTTTTCCATCGGGGATCAAATGGCTGCATTAGGAAACTCTGATGAGTACTGTACTGAAAGATTGCAGCAGCCGTCAGTTACTTGTGTTCTACTTTTCTTACTAGAATTAAATCTGCAAGTTGACGTGAGCGATTGAAATCTGTAAATATAAGCATATGGCCGATTTTGCAATATATGTGTTTCTCTCATCCAGCCTGATAATAAGCTTATTCCATGAATTGTCATGTGATAATGTGGTCAAGTCTTTCTCAAATTACAAAAACAAAAGAATGTGGACAAGTTTTTCTCAAATTACAAAAATCAAAAGAAACTAGAGATTTCTTAGGTTTTGGATGCTCATAATGAAATGTGGCCCCAAATTACATAAATGCAATTGACATTAATGTATTCATATTACTGGCCCTATGTACCATAAGGATATATGAAGGATGATGCTTGAATATTAAGCTCAGTTTCCTTGCTTTAATGTAACTGCATTCATTGAGTTTTTCTTCAATGTTTTTAGAATAAAGTAAATGATGTTCCTAATGGTGAATCATCCAGAAGAGAAGCTGGTATTTTTAATGAAGAATTACAAAATAAAATTGAAGAGAATGCCAGGCTCCATAAACAGGTAAAGTTACCATGTTTTATGCATATTACCAACGAATTTGTTGTACAGACTTTTCTGCGTTATACAATGTTCAGCCAATTAAATGCTTCAATATAAATTCTAGAATGATTCATTCATATTGCTTAACCAATCAAATGCTCTGTTCCTTAAAAGTTTTGGTGCCATTTACATCAGAAGGCTACAAAGTTTTCCGTTCTTGGTCTAGACACAATAAAATTACAAATTTTTAACCATTTACACTACTACAATTTCAAGCGTTCCGAGAACAGTTCTATAACAATAGTGTAAATGATATATTGTACTCTTCATAAAAGAGTTAATTTTAGACGTTCTTATAACTCGGATGAAGGCAAATTCGTCTGGTCACAGAAACTGTAGAACATGTCAAGGGGTCAAGAGGCATTCATAAGAACTGTTCTCAGAATGTTCGACCGTTAACACTACGGTACCAAATTCTGACATCATCAAAAGATTTTAAGCACTTTAATCAGCCAAGCTACATTCCTCCACCCTCTAAAGTTATAACCAAGCATATTTCTATCTTCAAGGTGAATGAATCTTCCACAATCTATGAAGAAAAAGTGCAGAAATTAGAAGAAAGTTTAAGAAATGTGGAATTAGAACATAGTCAATATAATGAGGTGCTGAATGCTACTAAACAACAAAGTAAAACACAAATAGACAATTTATTAGAAGAAAAAGCATTGTTGGAGGTTAGTGTCAGTGTCAAATATGAATACAACATACATAGGCTTATAATTATGTAGCTTAAATGCATGGAAAGTGAATTGAAATATATGTATATTGTAAATCCTGTAGCCTTTGCTAACTGGCTAACCTAAAGGTTGAGGCTTAAATCCTGGCAGAGGTTGAGATAATGCCTTCAGATATTTCAACCCGGTTTCCCCATATCTGTGATGTAATAGTGGTTGAAACGTAAAAAGTGTCTAGTTGATCGGATGGGACAATAAACCAAGGCCCTGTTTGCCACAGGCTGTGCACGTTAAAGATGTCTTGACAGTTGGAAATGGAAAAAGATCAGTCTAATGTTGCTGTCTGAGCAAAATTTCTCTCATTGCTACCTGCATGTCGTTGCCTGTCTTCATTAGCCCACATGGTGCAGAAAAGTAGGACATAAAAGTCTATTCCTTTTTATTTTCGTTTCATTTGCAGCCTTGCAAAGAAAATTGCTAAGCAAAACAGAAAATGGCATGTGTTGCACACCATATTTGTATCTATTTAAAAGTTCATATCATGCTCAGTTAGTTATTTGAGAAGAGATTCCAATATAGATCATTTTTTCACTCAGTATATTAAAGGGATTGTAAAGAGATTTTTTGTAACGTTTTAATGCTTACTGGGGGCACTGTTCGAATTGACCTGAACAATTGAAATTGTGCTAAAAAGAATCACAAAAACATCTTTACGGTTACTTTTGTCTTGTTTAGGGGAAGCTACTTGGTCAAGATTCTGATGTAAAACAGTTTAAAATGAGAGCTGAAGTGGCGTGAGTATTATGCATAAATTTATTCCTTTTTCCTTTAAAGGTGTAATGATCAAGTCCAAATATTTGATGGGCTTTAACTGATTGAAAAGTATTTAATAAGCCAATGCGGTATTATGTGTTTGCATGCGCAACACACTGATTCAATTCTTTCTCTTTGGGATAAACAACGTCAATTTAACCTGGGAGTCTATGGCCAGCGATGGAAAAAGATTTATTGATACATTGACAGATATCTATTGATTTTTTAGAACGCTGTCTTAAGCAAGTCTTGTCAGTTCAAGGCGTATATCAGATGTCTGACAATTGTAAATGCTGTAAACACTTTGTACAAAATCCTTGTCCATTTTAAATCGATGTTGTTTATCACGAAAGATGGAAGATGGGAATTATTGAATATTATATAAATAGGTTGATGGATTTTTAAAGAATTTGTAAATTTTGATGATGGATTATGAAAGTCTTGTAAAGACAACTTTTTAGAACTAAATATTTAGCTCAAAATTAGTGAAATATTGGATGGGAAGTTTAAATCCCATGCAAAAGAGATTAAACATTTATAAAAAATTAGATGTTGAATTGTAGCCCTTCACAAAATATTGTTCATTATTTTGATAATTTGAATCATTTTCATACATGATTGTTTATATATTTCAGTGAAATCAAGTTAAAATCTGTACAGACTGATTTAAGTGGCAGATTAGAATCAGTTCAAAAACTAGTCACACAAAAGCTACCTTTTATAGATACTGGTAAGTTACACCGATTTTATCATCATGTGACGTGATCTGGTGCTGCAGATTTCTTATCGAAATAATTTTCCCAATAAGAATGACTTGGACTTGTTTCTTTGTGAATAAGATACTGAATTTGCTGAAATTTTCCTCATTACACACTCCTTGGTATTGCTTGTAATCAGTCACAATAGTTCCTTGGGAGGTCTTAAGTCTTTTCTTGCAGTATTTTAAAAATTTAAATTCTAAAATGTTTTTTTAAGAGTTGTTTTAATTAAATGATTGCTGAAGGTCCAGGGTTCAATCCTGGCAGGGTTCCTCAAAATACCTTCAGATATTTCAACGGATTTCCTCCAGTCAACCATGCAGGTCGGAGGGAACAATATTCTGAAGCCCTCTGTGTTATAGGTCTTCCACATTAAACATTCCGGAAAATTATAAATCGATAAAGAATAGGCTAATGCCACTGTCCTGGTAAAATTTCCTTCATTGAACACTTCATAGCATTTCTGTTCAGGACTTGTTATATCCTTTTTTTCAGCCAATAGTGAAATCAATAATTTAAATGTTCCTGTATATGATAGACAATATATTTTACATTCAACTGAGCTGGTGAATCAGGCTTGTGCTTATGTTAGTGAGTTAGTGCAAAGTTTCTCCAATTTTTACACATATAGTGAACAGAGATCCAAGATTTATCCTATAGATGGAATTAGTGAAACTATGAGCGCTACTAATATAGCTGTAAGTACTCTTAGTCAATAATTGAAGGGAACACACCCTGTGGACTGTGAATTTGGCTTTTTTTTCCCCAACATCACAAAAAGGGTAGTTTCTATGTTTTAGATTCTGTGCTCCCAAATGGTCATTCAACAAAGAAAGATTTTCTATTCTTAATGAACCACACCTTATATGTCTATGGACCCGAATACATTCTAAGACAAATGGCATGAAATTTAAATTTTCTAACTAATATCTGTGGAACGACAGAAAAAATTTGATTCTGAGCTTTGAAGTGGGACCATTGTTATTGCGTGATATTTTGTATTACTGAATTTATTTGGAGACTAAGTCATCATCCAATTAGATATTGTTTTAAAGAGTATCAGTCTTGTGGATCAAGGGTTTCCAGTTAGATAGGCTCATGAACCCTTTATAAATCAATCAGGGATAAAAAAATTTTTCACAGTTGTTTCTCTAATTTCAATAGGACGTAAAACTCCATTCATTTCATTATATTTCTATTTCAGTATTGTAAATTATTACATGGTAATTTAACTTATTTAAGACCAGTTGAACAATCATTAAAAACATTTGGTGATGCATTAAAAGATGACTCCCAAATTACTTCCACTGTAAGTTTATTTTTTACTGGGTAATTTTGATTGACAACAATGGAGACGAATCTGAAATCAGCTATATGGATTTCTCTTTGATGAGTTCAATAGAATTAGAATTGTGCTGCCATTTTGATATTATTAGATGGCCAATCAATGGAGACAATTCTTACATCGGCTAGATGAATTTCCCTTTGATGAGTTCAATAGAATCAGAATTGTGATGCCATTTTGATATTATAAGATGGCCAATCAATGGAGACAATTCTTACATCAGCTAGATGGATTTCCCTTTGATGAGTTCAATAGAATCAGAATTGTGCTGCCATTTTGATATTATTAGATGGCCAATCAATGGAGACAATTCTTACATCGGCTAGATGAATTTCCCTTTGATGAGTTAAATAGAATCAGAATTGTGATGCCATTTTGATATTATAAGATGGCCAATCAATGGAGACAATTCTTACATCGGCTAGATGAATTTCTCTTTGATGAGTTCAGTAGAATCAGAATTGTGATGCCATTTCGATATTATTAGATGGCCAATCAATGGAGACAATTCTTACATCAGCTAGATGAATTTCCCTTTGATGAGTTCAATAGAATCAGAATTGTGATGCCATTTTGATATTATTAGATGGCCAATCAATGGAGACAATTCTTACATCAGCTAGATGAATTTCCCTTTGATGAGTTCAATAGAATCAGAATTGTGCTGCCATTTCGATATTATTAGATGGCCAATCAATGGAGACAATTCTTACATCGGCTAGATGAATTTCTCTTTGATGAGTTCAATAGAATCAGAATTGTGCTGCCATTTCGATATTATTAGATGGCCAATCAATGGAGACAATTCTTACATCAGCTAGATGGATTTCCCTTTGATGAGTTCAATAGAATCAGAATTGTGCTGCCATTTTGATATTATAAGATGGCCAATCAATGGAGACAATTCTTACATCGGCTAGATGAATTTCTCTTTGATGAGTTCAATAGAATCAGAATTGTGCTGCCATTTCGATATTATTAGATGGCCAATCAATGGAGACAATTTTGAAATCAGCTATATGGATTTCTCTTTGATGAGTTCAATAGAATCAGAATTGTGCTGCCATTTCAAAATTATCTATCCTGATGAGGCTGTTACATTCAATTTACATCATGATGTTCTTGTTACTAGATGTGTGGTTTTGAGATGTACCAGACTTGTTTTAGGCTTTACAAGCTGATGAAATCAAATATTAGCTACATTTTGCCCTTTTCTGAATATGAATTTGAGATTTTCTTGAGATTTAATTCTAATATTATGGTGGTAGATGAACCTGACAGGAGATTTGAGTTTTACCCAGTAATATTTGAAATAGAATATTCTTTATATTACATGTTTTATTTTTGGTTATTCAGATAAATGGTAAAGAACTACAATTTTTTTGTGAAAACTTCCATAAATTTGTTGTCTATAACAATGACCTACTACCTTATCAACTGTCTAGGTAAGACAGTTTTTTCTTAAATTTAAAATTTTTACATAGAAAAACAACAACATTTTGTATCAATAACCAGTCAAATCATACTTAAGAAATATCATGATATATACCCATATCATGAGATATTAATTTTTGATATCGTGATATAAACTTGAACCAATATCGCCCAGTCCTATCTTAAGTCAGATAAGCAAGAAATTTACCCCTTAACCCTAAAAAATTGCTCATTATTTACAGTAACAGTTTTTCTAGATTAGGGTAAGATAAGGTACTCATTTTACACGTGCTGTATATTGACAATAATACGGTAATTTTTTGTACACTTATATTAAAGCTGTTGTTGGATTTTTTCAGTATCGAAGAAGAATGTGCTGTATCATCGTGTCCCTCTGTTTTATCTAATAAAAATATGGAATTATATAAATCTTTTGAAAAATTAAATAAAGTATTTAACCAACTAGATCAATATGTAGCTATATTAGGTAACAAAAGTAAGTATTTCTTTCAATTTTAGGTGGCCCTCACACCATAGCGATCACCAGAGTTGTGTATGGTTACAATTTAAAATAGCGGTCATAAGGTTTACATTGTGAGTTGCGTTCGAAAACTCTTGGCCACTATATTCGCAAACTATAGGCAACCATGGTATTAGGACACCTAATGTTTAGTTTTACTGTATTGCAAGAACAACAAGAGCAAGACGTCTGACTGAAAATTGGAATGGTGCAGATCAAGCTCTCAGTGTCCTTGATAGACTTGGTATTTCAAAAAACCATAATCCTTGCCTTCATCATTGATAAAGGTTAAAGGGCCAGTTAATGACTAAATTGCCTTGTCATTCAGTGTAAAAACTGTTGTGTTACAGGTCGTGCACTTTAAAAGACATTCGGACAGTTGAAAATCCAAAAAGAGCATTAGTATTGGTACTTAGCTTTATAGTTCACCCTTGAGACAGAAGTGAATATTGCTCTCCTGAGAAAAGTTTCCCTCATTGCACACTACATCTTCAGTGGCCCAAACTGGAGCAGAGAAGTAAAATGTAAACCCAACACCTCCCTTTCCCCAACAACCTTGAATCGACCATGAAGTTTAAGATAGTTTCATTATTTTTTATGTTATAGGTAAAAATGTATCCAGCGATAATTTAAACTTATTTGAAGGATTAGTTAGTTCCACTACAGAATTTCAAGAAACAATCAAACGTAATTATGAAGTTGCTATAAATTTATCGAACATAACAGAAATAAATTTGGTTAACTTCCTTATATCAAGTCACAAATATTAAAAATGAATGCTTAGACTAAAAGCCTGTTTCAGGGGCACGAATCCTACAAGTATACCTAATACAAGTAAGCCTTAAGCAGGATGACATTCCATTGGTCAATTCATTCCTAAACAGCAAAAGACTAGCCAAATATGAAGTTGACCGTAGTAAAACAGGCAATCAGAATACCTGTGTATTTTGAAGTTTTAGTAATGCACCTCAATATTCAGAAGATTAAGGTTTAAATGACTTTATAAAAGTTTGAATATTATTCTCTCAATTTTTTTAGAGCTTTCAAAAGTTTACAATGCTAAAGTTTCACTGGAGCATCAACTACCAACAGCTACACAGAAACTAAAAACAACGGATGAATGTATTGTATCTTCTTTAATATCGCTTGTAACTAGTAGTAATAAAGTAAGTTATCATCCATTAAGATGATATCATATGAATTGATAGCCAATTTGACGTCATTAAACACTCACTAAACAGTAAGAAAATCGGCTAAAAACTGCCCCTTCTCAGAAATGTGTGATGGTAAACCTTATCTGAAAGAATCAATTGAATAAGTAAATCAACTCCGATTTTAATGATGTAAAATATGATAAGTTTTGAGTTACTAGGACTGGAGAAGGAAGCTTTAAAGACATGGCATTTTACTGCAGTGACACAACATTACCTTTGTTTGTTTGCGTTATGGGCCTTGTTCTTGATTCAATATGACCTACTCGCGAATAAGATCTATTGGCACAGATAGTTATATCCACTCTAGGAAGCTCGTGTATTGATGATTTTAGTTTTATGGTCATCTGATTGGACAAACACTAAAAAGTGATTTTAAATTATCCAATCAAATTACTGTATTTCTTAAAAATCTGGATTTATCGGACTTCATTTTTGGAGAAAAAGTTTTTGGGTCTAAAAATCTTAAACACCTGTTACATCTGTCTTTATGATTGTCATGCCACATTCAATTGTTGAGATTGCGGCCAAGATTTTTTTCATCGTCTGCCATTTTGAGTCAAAAAGTGTCTCTATTTCAGATTGCTACCTTTATGAGTAATAATTTAGAGTTTTTTAACGAGATTAACAAGAGAGAAAATACAGAGAATGGTAATACAGTTAATCCTATTGTTGGAAACTATAAAATGAGAACAGAAGATTATTTAACATCATTGACAATGGTAGGTTTGCCATATCCTTTTAATCCTTATATTTTATCCATATCTTTCTGAGTGTCTTGGATAAGACAGTAAACAGAGGTCATCTGTGCTACAGGCTGTTAGTGCATGTTAAAGATACCTTGACAGTAGAGGGTTGCTTGATTGGTGACTTCTGCACATTTGGGATTCATGAAATCAATTAGACAGTCAATAAAACAAGTTGGAACAGAGTTCAGAACGTGTGTCAAGTGTGCCAAAAAAATAGACAGAATTCAAAATGGTGGAGAAGGAAAAAAATGGAAAATTTTGAAAGTGACATATTCCGCTTCCATGGCATTCGATTGAGGGCAGAATTTGAACTGACCGGACCTGTTCAGAACTCTCCAATCAAGCACCACCTTGGAAAATAGAATTATAAAACTTATGATGTTGCCTTGGTAAAAGTTCCCCTACTGCACTGTAAATGCATTGTAAATGCCCATTTTCATTAGACACATCAGATGTGCAAAAGTAGGACATTAGACTCCACTTTTAGACATTCCACTCACAAAATCAATCACAAAATTGTCTTTTCAGCCTTGCCCTAAATCAGTGCCCTACAGTGTAGCTTTAGAGAATAGAAAGATATTGATAAGTTCAGCAGAAAATAAAGAAGGTTTAGCCAAACAGGTGGAAAAATTCCAAAAAAATTTGACTGTATTAGAACAAGAAAAAGAACATTATATGTTAGAGTTACAATTATTGAAAATCAAATATGAAAATGAAATGCATGTAAGTATATTTTCATTTTAGAATCTCAATTCACAATTCACAAATAACCGTTAAATTTTGAGTTTTCAAATCCATGTGTGTCCAAAATTATCAACAATTGAAAGTAAAAATGACTTGTCTTTTCTTGAGTATAAAGTAGATTAATAGACAATACAGTCATTGAAATTTAAGAATACAATACATTTTTATTATAGAAACGTAAAAATCTTGAAAAAGAAATCGGCTCATTGAAGAAAGGCAGTGTATCTGTGGACAACCCAGCAGTAGAAAACTTAAAGACAGACAGACCTAGTAATAGAGGCTCATTAGATAGTATAACAGCAGAGGAAAGTTTGGTATGTATTAGTTTTTTGTGTCATAACATGATAAATATTTATGTCATGCCAAAGAGAACTATAGTATTATTTTGATTATTATAGATGTGTAAATTAGAAACTATAGTATTATTTTAATTATTATAGATGTGTAAATTAGAAACTATAGTATTATTTTAATTATTATAGATGTGTAAATTAGAAACTATAGTATTATTTTGATTATTATAGATGTGTAAATTAGAAACTATAGTATTATTTTAATTATTATAGATGTGTAAATTAGAAACTATAGTATTATTTTAATTATTATAGATGTGTAAATTAGAAACTATAGTATTATTTTAATTATTATAGATGTGTAAATTAGAAACTATAGTATTATTTTGATTATTATAGATGTGTAAATTAGAAACTATAGTATTATTTTGATTATTATAGATGTGTAAATTAGAAACTATAGTATTATTTTAATTATTATAGATGTGTAAATTAGAAACTATAGTATTATTTTGATTATTATAGATGTGTAAATTAGAAACTATAGTATTATTCTGATTATTATAGATGTGTAAATTAGAAACTATAGTATTATTTTGATTATTATAGATGTGTAAATTAGAAACTATAGTATTATTTTAATTATTATAGATGTGTAAATTAGAAACTATAGTATTATTTTGATTATTATAGATGTGTAAATTAGAAACTATAGTATTATTTTGATTATTATAGATGTGTAAATTAGAAACTATAGTATTATTTTGATTATTATAGATGTGTAAATTAGAAACTATAGTATTATTTTGATTATTATAGATGTGTAAATTAGACTGACTACTAGTATTATTTCGATGATTATTATAGATGTGTAAATTAGAAACTACTGGTATTAATGAAAGTGATGTTGGAACTAGAGAAGAGTTGATAAAAAGTCACTATACATCTAGATTAAATCAGCTAACACTACAATTACAACATACTGATAGTAAATGTGTTAGCTTTCATTCTGAGGTGAGATTTTTAATTTTTATATGTCGCAAAAACTTATTTTTCTAGTTTTTGTTCATTATAATATATACTAGTTTATTGATTTGATGAATTTGTAATTTCAATTTGAGAAGATTTACAGTGCTCCTTCATTAGAAATCTGAAACCAAAAGGAGCATTGTTGCCCGCTTTATTGCTTATTGCTAGTCACATAAGTGTGCACACAAACTCACAACACACAAAAAGTGTGTACAATTTAAGACTAACTTTGGAGACTTTTTGAAACTAATGTAAGCCAGAAAAAGGAAACAATTTGTGGCAAACAATCCTAATCTGTAATACACAAGTTCTTTTATTCTGTATTGTAGGTTCGAGCACTACATAAACAACTTCAACTTGCTGAGAAACAGAAAAACTCTGCAGAGGATGAATTAAAAGTAGCGAGCCAGTCTCTTGCTCAATTAAAGGTGAATATATTGTAAATATGGCCACCAAATAAGTTTTAATTCCAGTGCTGGTTCTAGTATGAAACTGTTAAAAAATACATTTGAAGTCTTTTACAAACCAGTTATTTCTTCTGATCTTGTCTTATGAGTAATTATGTTAACTATGAACTAATTATTATGTAATATCATGGCTATAAACTACTGATTATGTGATATCACAGTTCTGATTATGTAATATCGTTGCTAAAACTTATATTTATGTGATATATTATGACCATTGCAATCATAATGCATTTTATACATTTGTTAGGATGAACATCAAACAACAACTAAAAGCTATGAAAATCAGTTAAGTATGATGAGTGAACATTTAGCTGGTATGAATGAAAAATTAGCACAGCAAAAAGATGAAATCGATGAACAAAAACTGCAGCTGCATGGTAAAAGCAAGGTATGTTTTAATGGGTTAACCATTTTTTCCTTGCATCATATAACTAAGGGCTATGTGGCATCACTATAACCCATGATTATGTTATATTACTGTAACTAATAATCATTTGATATCACTGCAACCAATGATCATATGATATCACTGTAACTAATATCATTTGATATCACTGTACATAATGATCATGTGATGTCACAGTCACTTATTACCATGTGATATCTTTGTAACTAATGATCCTGTGATATCACTGTAACTTATGACCATGTGATATCACTTTAATTAATGACTATGTGATATCACTGTAATAAATTATCATGTGATATCTCGTTAACTAATGATCCTGTGATATCACTATAGCTAAAGGTCATCTGATATCACTGTCGCTAATGACAATGTAATATTACTGTCACTAATGATCCTATGATATCACTTAAACTAATGATTATGTGATATCACTTTAACTAATGATCCAGTGATATCACTATCGCTAATGATCATGTGATATCACATTACCTAATGATCATGTGATATCACTGTCACTAATGATAATGTGATATTACTTTAACTAATTATCATGTGATATCACAGTCGCTAATAATCATGTGATATCACTTTAACTAATGATCATGTGATATCACTGTCACTAATGCCAATGTGATATTACTTTAACTAATTATCATGTGATATCACTTTAACTGATGATCATGTGGCATCACTGTCACAAATGATCATGTGATATCACTTTAACTAATGATCATGTGAACTAATGATCCTTTAACTAATGACCCTGTGAACTAATGATCCTGTGAACTAATGATCATTTAACTAATGATCATGTGATATCGCTTTAACTAATGATCATGAGAAATCACTTTAACTAATGATCATGTGATATCACTTTAACTAAAAATCATGTGATATCAATTTAACTAAAAATCATGTGATAGCACTTTAACTAATGATCATGAGAAATCACTTTAACTAATGATCATGTGATATCACTTTAACTAATGATCACGTGATATCACTGTCACTAATGACAATGTGATATCGCTGTAACTAATTATCATGTGATATCACTTTAAGTAATAATCTTTTAACTAATGATCATGTGATATCCCTGTAACTAATAATCATGTGATATCACTTTACCTAATGATCATGTGAAATCACTTTAAGTAATGATCCTTTAACTAATGATCCTGTGATATCATTTTAACCAACGTTCCCGTGATATCACTTTATTTAATGATCATGTGATATCACTTAAACTAATGATCATCTGATATCACTTTAAGTAATTATCATGTGACATCACTTTAAGTAATGATCCTTTAACTAATGATCCTGTGATATCATTTTAACCAACGTTCCCGTGATATCACTTTATTTGATGATCATGTGATATCACTTAAACTAATGATCATCTGATATCACTTTAAGTAATGATCATCTGATATCACTGTAACTAATGATCATGTGATATCATGTAACTAATGATCATGTGATACCACTGTCACTAGTGATCATGTGATATCACTTTAACTAATGATCCTTTAACTAATGATCATGTGATATCACTTTAACTAAAAATCATCTGATAACACTGTAACCAATAATCATGTGATAGTATGTAACTAATGATCATGTGATATCACTGTCACTAGTGATCATGTGATTAACTAATGATCCTTTAACTAATGATCCTGTTATATCACTTAGACTAAATATCATGTGATATAACTTTATCACTTTCACTTATGATCATGTGATATCACTTTAACTAATAATCATGTGATATCACTTTAACTAATGATCATGTGATATCCATTTCACTAATGATCATGTGATATCAATTTTACTAATGATCATGTAATATCATGTTAACTAATGATCATGTGATATCACTTTAACTACTAATCATGTGATATCACTTTAACTAATGATCATGTGATATCACTTTAACTAATGATCATGTGATATCACTTTAACTAATGATCATGTGATATCACTTTAACTAATGATCATGTGATATCACTTTAACTAATGAACATGTGATATCACTTTAACTAATGATCATGTGATATCAATTTTACTAATGGTCATGTGATATCATGTTAACTAATGATTATGTGATATCATGTTAACTAATGATTATGTGATATCATGTTAACTAATGATCATGTGATATCAATTTCACCAATGATCATATATGACTTTAACTAATGATCTTGTGATATCATGTTAACTAATGATCATGTGATATCATGTAACTAATGATCATATGATATCACACTGTCACTAATGATTATGTGATATCCAGACTGCCACTATTTATAGCTTTGTCTTGGTTATCCCTAAGATTATGTGATGTCATGATTATGATTTTATAAATTTAATTTTATACTTCAGAGTCTTAAAAAGAAGAAATAGAAGGTGATAGTGAATTTAAATTCAAAGAAAATCAGTCTTTTTGAATATTTTTTTTTTGATTCATGTAAATATATGTAAATGAATTCAAGAATATTTATGTATTGTTTGTTGATGGCATTAGGTTTTTGACATAAAAATGTAAGAGTAATCCCTGCTCCCCTACGAAAAATATATCATGTTTCTGAAGTAAAATCAGCTTTGCTTATTCTGGCTTATATTGGATTTTGAAAAAAGGTTGAACAATAATTTGGTTCAGTTTTGCTGCATTGGCTTTTGGATTAAGTGGGAGAAATTTGATGTCAACTAAAATTAAATTTCTGAAAAGTGCAATATAAATGTTTGTTATTGAATGTTGATTATTGAATGTTAGATCGGAAGTGGTGGTCACAATAAACTGTTACTTTTTATGTTTTTAACTCTTTTCTTCAATGCTGGTTTATCCCCTTTGTCTTCATTACCCCATTAACTAATAATGATGTGATATCACTGTCACTAATGATCATGTGATATCATAAGGCTAGAACACTTCTTAGAAACTCTCTTGAAAGGAATTGTAAAGAGGTTTTTAAATTATGTTTATCTGGGACACCGTTAGCATCGACTTGCACCATTTCAATTAAACATCTGGTTCCTGCAATTCCACTAAAACTTTGCTTTGCATGACGTCACTATCACACAGAGACTCATATATAATATAAGCAGATTTTGCGATAGTGACGTCATCAAACACTTAGATTTAGAAGTGGAATGGTGCTAATAGATGCTTACAGTGTTCAAGATAGACATAAAAGTTTATAAAACCTAATTACAATCCCTTTAAGTAAGCTCTTTGTTCAGGGTTTGTAGTAAACAAATATAACGTGTGTCAAACAAATAACTGATTTTTTTTTATATAATACAATTATATACAGAAATAACAAAATGTACTAATATTACAAGATAAATTCATATTTTTTACCATGCTTAAAGTTTCTACAAATAAGTAAACCTCATATTTTTTTTTTGACTATATATATACCATAAAAGACAAGTACGTTGAATTTTTCTCAATTAAAATTTTCCATCAATCTTCCATTTAAAAATCATGTTCATGAAAATAATGTTAAAAATACATAATAATATTGGGTCGTTAGTGTGCGGGAACACCAACAGTCTTGGTTGAAGATTTTTGTCGTCTACTAGTCTTCTCAAGAATTTAACCAAACGGCTGCAGGTTCAAGAGTAGACTAAAACTCTGATTGGATGAACACAAGCTCTGTCTAGTAGATGCTAAAACAATTGATAATCGTGTCTTGGAAGAGCAGACACAAAAAGAGATTTTCCTCTAGATTTGGGTCAGTGACAAAAATCGGCGCCAAAGACTGTTTGTGAGCCTGCAGCGTAAGTCTGACAATATCACTTTGAAATTAAAATAACGTTCACATTATATACAAGGCTCCTTATAACAAAAGTTAATGTTCACTGGGTCTTTCATATCAATTTGGCAATGTGGTCCCTTTATAAATATAAGCTATGAGAAATTGGCTAAAAGTGTAATAGTCCAAATTGCTATTCCTAAAAATATAAATTGAATAAATATATCATAAATATCTAGTATCTAATTTTGAAGAATACATAGGTCAGTGTTTAAACTATCAGATGTTCCTCTCTTCAGTAAGAAATATTCCTCTATGTACCAATTTGTATATTAGATTTTAAAAGCTTCTTTCAATATTCTTTTTTGAAAAAAAGATGCCTAACATGCAATAAATTTAAATTCTGTGTTGTTTATAGTTCTAGAATATTTAACTCAACAGTTTTTTTTTGTAATATTTCGATCTCTTTTCCCCAGAAGAGGACAAAATTCAAGAAGAAACAAACCCTACAATTTTTAGATTTCATCTGCTATCAATTTGGTCCAACAGATTAACAAAATGTTCAAGGCATAACACTAACAAATAAATGGAAGCAGGGATTAATAAGGAGTGTAGGCCTATCTTAACAAATTAGTGCATTATAAAACCTAAGTCACAATATGAAAGCAGAATGATATCACTAAGCAATTCCCTCCTCTAATTAAAAAGCGCATGAGAACAGAAAATTCCAAGTATCAGGCAATATTTTTTCAAAGGAAGAACAATTTTGGAGTCGCCTTCTCAGATATCAAACAGCTCTGGTTACTTGTAAGATTTTAAGCAATAAAGGCTCATAGGTTATTTCAGAATTTTAACCACCAATTCTGATATCTGCTATGCTATACAGTTATTGCTTTCAGCTAGGCTTGGCGGGAATGTTGAAATATATTTCTATTTACTTAAAATGCAACCAAAACATAAAACACAGTACTTAACTTACAATACATGAACATAATATATATATATACTTCAAGGGTAACTTTGCAGACAAAAAAGAAGTAAGAAAAATTAGTTTTCATAACAGGCACACGTTATGTTTACATACTGTCTAAAATATATAATTGAACAGCATTTGCAAGCATTTTCAAAAATTTCAGATTCTCCGGAATTTAAATTGGAATTGTAATGCATTGGTATATAAATAAGGGATAGTGTTTAACCAAATATCTGTGACTTGTTCTTAGTGCCTTAATAAATATTAGTATGCCTTTATGTATAAAAAGCAGCCTTTTAGCCTATAGTTGTCCAAGCATGTTGTCAAAGAAAATTTATATGAGGCATGCCATAAACATATAATCAAAAAACAAAAAAATGTCATTATACATTTGCTAACTGAATATGAAATGTGCCTGTACAAGTAAGGGTTCACTCACGTTACAGGCAGAGCAGGGTGTCGCAGAGAAGAGCAGAGAACAGCAGAGCAGGGTGACCTTAAATCAATCATTCACTATGGAGGATTTCGTGAATTTCAAATTGCTTGACAGCAATGCTAATTCAATAATGGACACCACAAGCTGCAAGCGATAAGAAAAGCCAAATTTCTAAAGTGTGTCGCTCTGTGTCCACTCCACTTTCTGTGTAAGCAGCTTAGCATCTGTACATCGGAAACTTATTAGACACTAATGCTGCCACTTAGCACTTTTCTCTGCTCAGCTCGGCTCAGCTTGTAGTGTGAAAGATCCCTCAGAGTCCTTACATGCAATTATAAATTGTGGAGTAGTGGACAGAATTAAAAAGAACCAACTTTGAAGTTAATAAAACATTGTGCATATTGATGCATATGGCAGTAAAAAAAAAAGGAAAATCATCTCTTAGAGTATATGACCTACACATACTATATTACTGAATTAAAAATCCCGATATCCAGCTGACAATGTTCAATTATGTAGCATATTAAGCTATGTGACCTGAAGAATTTGAATAAGAAGCAGTTGCTATTTACAATATATCATTGGAATAGACTTGAAACCTTCAGTTTACAGAGTAAAATAAATTGAATGTCATTTTCGTTGACAAAAATATGGCTACGCATTTTGTCAGTATTTCGGTCAATGTACATATCACGTCCATAGAGCCCTAGAATAAAATATAAACCAATCTGCAACTTTTTCCACCAAAATATGTAATCATCTAGTACTTGTAATTGGGAGTTAAAAGATATTTTTGTGGATGAAGTTGCAAATCAGAGATTTATAACATGTTAAATATTCCTCCCATTAAAATCGGCCTGAAAGCCGCTTATTTGTTGGAACTGTTTTGTTCTGAAGAAGTTGTCAGAAACTCGTCTGAACGTTTATGAGAATCCAAAGCCTTGATCATTCCCATGTCATGTGGTAATTCAGACTTCCGCCTCAACAATGGCTTTTCTTTGCCTTTCTTCTTTTGCAACTGTAAAGAAACAGAAAATACATGAAAATATGACAATGATGGCAAAATGGGCTGGAAGTATATACAATATTATCAAATACAATACATTTAGATACGCTAATACAAAGAAAGTTGGTCAAAGATACATGTATCCATGTACTAATCAACGCATAAACAGTCATAGTACTTCTCAGTAGAATAAGTGGTTGTAGGAGCTGTACAAATCAATGTTTATGTTTTTGCTTCATCCACCCAAAATATAGGATTGTTTTATAAGCTAAAAGGGCTTATATTCCACTATTTTTTATGATCACTTTTAAGAGATAAAAACATAAAATCTTATTTATCGAACTTCAATATATTAGTCTAATATTCTGAATTGTTGGAAAAATCAAAATAAAACAATACATATATCCAGATATACTTCCAAATCAACATATAATTCATAACATATATTTGAAGCCTTTATGGATAAGCATCAATATCTGTGTTCGATATAAATTATGAATCTCCACGAATTGAAACTAACTAGTATTATTAGCAATTAGTTGTGATTTCAAATCATTGTAAAATAGTTTAGATTATCTAGAATCTACAAAACTAGTTAATAGTGAAAGATGATTTTATTAATGATATTAATGTTTAATCAACTAAATATAATGCAAATTCTTACAGTAACCCCAAACTTAAAGGGATTGTTAAGAGGTTTTCTAAATTTTTTATGTGTATCGGGGACACTAATAACATCAATTTTCACCATTCCAATTTTCAATTAGACATCCTGGTTCCTGCAATACCACTAATACTAAGTGTTTGATGATGTCACTAATCGAAAAGGGCCTTATAGTGATGTCATCCACCACTTAGTTTTAGTGGAATTGCAGGAACCACGGACATCTAATTGAAAATTGGAATGGTGCAAATTGACGCTATCCGTGTCCCCGATACACATAAAAAATCAGAAAACCTCTTTACAATCCCTTTAAGTCCACTGGAAACAATTCAATTCTACATATTGTGTTCTATATGACTCAAATACTAGGCGAATACAATTTCTTAGGACTGTTCAAGCTTGTCAGTTAAGCAAATTAATGGGGCTGACACAAAAAGCATATACCGGTCATTTAGATGGGCTAATAATTTAGTACATTAGATTTGTCAACCCTGTAAATGAAGCGAGTCAAAGAAGCTGGCACAAAAAAAAAAGCATCTAGTCGTTCAAATGGGCCAATAAAATATGTGTGTTCTTTGTAACCCAAACCCTAAGCCAATAGGAGTTGTTAACTCTGAAAATGACGCATGTTTAGACCGCAAAATGGAAAAAATATCTTGCCATTCAGATGGGCCAATAAAATGAGGCACAGTGCGTTGGGAGGTTATGTATGTTGAAGATCTCTAATAATTTGAAATGGAAAAAGATTTGGTACATTAGCCAGAACATAAAAGTATGTCATAACCCTTCCATTTCATTTTAACCCCTTCATGTATCTTAATCAGATTGGTATATTCCCTACTTCTGGCTAACAATCTTATTACAGAGTAGTCAAAACAATTGATGACGTTAAATATTAAAGATTAATATAAAGTCACACATTCTAAAAATTTAATCAGAACAACTAGTAAATCTTAAAAATAAAACTAATTAAAATCAAAAGTCAAACTGTTTATTTCATAGGAATTCTTTTACCAGGTACGAAAACAAGGAGTTGCTACATTTTCAATTTTTATACCAGATAAGGAATGTGTCCAGCATTCAAAAATGGAACAAGCTTCTAGCTGTTCAGATAGTAGAAAACTGACGCACATCAGATATAGCACCGCTGTCCAGGCATAATGTGCATCATTGTCCATTGCATGGCATTGCTGTTCCTCATTAGCAAAATAGATTCAGTTTACAGAATTAAGAAATTCCATTTTATAAGATATCACTGTGATGTCAATAATACTTAATGTAACTTACAAACATTGGTTGAAATGGTGACATCACAAATTTTGTAAACCGAATTGAAAAAGGTTTGATCACCAAATAGTAGAATAAAAATGCTGGAGACATATCCATCTTGGTATAAAAATAACCCCCCAAAAATACGAAGAATTCCTATGAAATGTAAACTATAAGTTGAATCCTATACCTGATCAGTAGATTTTACTGTCACTTTCTTTAGTGGTAAATTAATCTTAAAATACATTCAAATATTTCCTCAAAATTTTCAATATTTTAGAAAGATTTGATGCTATTCCCTTTAGAGTCATTGACCATGCAAACAGAAGAAAGAATAGCAATGTTCAAAAATGCCTGACAAATCTGGCCATACCGATTCAACATGTTTTTAAGGCCAGAAATAACACTTTTTATGATAGTTACTAGGTAATATAATATCACCATATCTTAAAGGGGCAGTTAGGCCATTTTTTTGACCAATCATACTTTAGTCTCAGAAACTGCAATTTTTTAACTGAGCTTATCAGTAAAAGTGTTCACAGCTCGCCGTCGAAATTTGAGACTTCAAATCCATATGTGTCCAGAATTATTCACGTTTGAATGTTAAAATGACGACTCATCAATTTAAGGTACTCTGTGATAGAAAAGACATATATAGAAATAGTTGAGTAAAATTCTTAGTTTGAGATATTTTTAAAGGAATTATGTGATTTTTGTACATTTCTAGTACTTCTGAAGACATAATTTTTCAAGACTAAAATCAACCCCCAAAATGTCACACTTGTCCCTTTAAAAGACTACTTCAGAAAAAATGTTGGCCTCAAATCTTAGAATTTTTTATAATTGTACAAACCTCCTTAGCTTCACTTTCTAATTTCTCCATATTCATAACAACATCCCCTTCATCTTCTGGACCAGGGTTTGAATTCATTGAGTTAATTGTGTTCAATGACTTCACTGAGTTATTGGTAATTGGATGGCCTAATGCTGACTGAAATTGTTGGAACTGAAAGAGGGGAGAAAAAGATTCTTTCATGAACTTTTTTTAACCCTCTCAACAAAAGTGGTCACATAATGTACCCATTATTTTTCAGCAAGCTAACTTTTAAGTTGAGTCCGCAATTGAGCCTAAAAACAATAAATACTTCAATACCTTTTGTATACATGGGCTATCTTTAGCTAATGAATTTATCTTATTCCATGCTTCTTCCCTCTGCTTATTCTTTTCCTTTTCTCTGTAAAAAAATAAATATCAAATGTGAGAGGATGCCCTTATATTTAAATTATGTTCTAAAAAGGAAACCTAGACTCATTTATAGCTTTATATGTGACAGTTAGCATGCTATTCTGGCCAAGCATGTTTGTTGTGGTCAATCTTCAGCAACATCAGAAGCCAAGACTTGGTTTAACAACTCAGCTTCTTTTTCTAGAGAACACAAATATATAGGGATATTCCCTTACACCAATAGACCAAGGAAATGGATCTGAAATATACCATCTTCAGATGGCTTAGTCCAAAAATATTACAAAAGAATCACCACCCACTATTATGCTCACTGTCACAAGGGCGTGACATGCCCACACCTATTCAAGAAATGATGTCACTTTACTTCCAGGTTTTAAAATATTCCTTCCCTTTTGAAGATTTGACATAGTACAATTTCAGCAGCACTTTTCATTGTTCATAACACCCACTTTTATGGTCACTGTCACATATATTTCTTCCCTTTTGAAGATTGGACATAGTTAGTACAATTTCGGCACTTTTTCTTGTTCATAACACGACAGATGTGTATGTAAGGAAGAGAGATAAGTAGTCAGAAGTTACTTACTTTTGTCGTTCAACTTTGTACTGTTGTGTACAGTCATCAAACAGTTTCTGATTCATTTCCATGAATAACTTGAGAGCATTATATATTAATCCATGAATAGTTCTAGATAAATATATAACAATATACATAATCATATTTAACAATGCACTATATACATAAATAACGGACATAGAAAAATAACAAGGCACATAATTTGATCTTTCAGCTTTCTTTTGGGGATATAAAATCTAGTATTCCAACCATATTTGATTGCACTTGATATATAACAAGTTGTTTTCTAGACTGTAAAACTAGAAGACTAATAAGGAGAAAAACTGCTAAAAAATATTCAAATTTTGCCAGAATGTGGTACATGCTGAATAGTTAGCACTTTTTTGGTAACATAAGTAACAAAACAAATCTTCTGTTCTGCATCAGTCAATGCCACGCAGTTTGAAATCAGGGACGTTTTTTCAGGGCCACTAAGTCAACCCTGTTCTAGATTTGAGAGCATGAGAATAAGAAATGTTCTTACTTGTTCCAATGTTCTTTACTCTTATATAATGCAGGGAACATAAGAGGTAAAATAGTGGAGGCATTTTCACCAATCAAACTTAATATATACTCATTATTCCAGAAATATAATGCCCTTTCAGCAACCTGGAAATAAAAATTTTTTACTATCAATAACAATGTATCAAACCAAACTCATCCAAAAAATTATCAAAATCAACACCAAAAAAATTGCAGCCTCCGACGCATTCAAATTTTGACTCATTTACATAAGGTCAAGGACAATAACTCTGGAGATCATAGCTGAAAAATACTGCAATTAAAATTCTTGAGTTGACAAATACATTTCTTTTGTTTCTTTAGGATTTACAAGCAAATTCTGAAAGTCAAGGGCAATAACTCATTAACCCTTGCAAACAAATTTCATAGAATATGCATACTTTTGAGAACAACTTAATTTGGTCATATGAAAGATATATATTATGGTGTCATACCTGGAAATGAGGGCTTGAAACACATTTAGCTAATGTTTTAAATAAAGGAACCATAATTTTGGTAAATTCTGCCGGTTCTATCACATCAAGCACTTCTTCTAACTCATTTAAAAACATTACCTGAAAATTGCAGAGGGTGGGTGAAAATCACACATAAAAAATCAGTTCTCTACATCAAACCTATTTACTTTGATATATTGATTAACCATATTGTGGTCTAAAAGGGCAATGAAATTGCTTAACAATGATCTTCTGTCTATCTGCTATGGAATGGGTGCTATGGGTTTAAATCCTTCTCATTTTCTGGAGACAAGGTCAATACTCTCAAGCATCAGCCTGGTTCCATTGTTCATTAAAACCTTACTTTGATTATCACATAGAAAAAGAAATAAAGGCAAGAAACAAGTAAATTTTACAAGGTTAACAACTTAGGTTCACAGTTAAGAATCCTTTCTACCAGCTGGTCCTTGATCTTTCCAGGATTATCCGTACCCATTTACAGCTGGGTCGACTGGAATTATTAGTGAAGATGACTTATTCAAGGTCACCGAACTTTCACATGCCGATCGAGATCAGAACCCACAGCCACCATTTGCTCGTAACCAAGCAAAAGAACCAACGTTCTAACCGACTGTGCTACTGTTACACTTGACAATTTGACAAAAATTCATAGAATAGGAGACTAACCTCTTTTGGACTGTGAACTTTTGGCCAGAATTTTAACAGACCCATAATGGCCTAGAAAGAGAAGAAACACATTAATTCATATTTAATGTTCATGTACCATTCTGTACATATTCTAATTTATGCAAATTTTTTTTTCTAATAATAATAATGTGACAGTCTTATTTTGCAATTGAAACTGCCATTTGAATCTTAAAAAAAATCAACTGAAATATCCTCCAAATTTTTTTGCAAGCAAAAGTTTCAACCTAACTTGAATTTATACCCAATTTGATACACAATATCTAAAGCATAAAGAATTTGACATCAATTTCTTTGGTACAAGTGTTGTGTTCCTCAAAATCTAACCCAGATGCAAAAATCCAAACTGAGCATCAAAAAGTAGCTTACTGGTTCTGTTAAACTAGGATCTTTCTCCAGGAATTGAACAACACAGTAAGCTAGTTGAGGATGATAGACACTCAATGATTTAGCTTTATGTAGTGGTAGTAATACTTTTAACAAGAATACTTTATGTTCTTCTTTCAAAGGTAAGGCAAAACCATTGATAATACTGAAATATAACATTAGATATTGGATGGAAATAAGATTGCTTTCAGCAGGAATAAGTGGAATTGCAGGAACCACAGACATCTGATTGAAAATTGGAATGGTGCAAATTGAAGCTGTCAGTGTCCCCGATACACATAAAACATTTTGAGGGCACCAAATTTTGTGAATTTGTCCTAACATGCCTATTTTGCTGGGACTCAAATTTGTGCTTTAGTATATTTTTTCAAAATAGTTATATTTAATAACAATAAAACCCTGGGTTTTACTACTAATCCTAATTCTTTTGTTTATTTGTACTAATCAGCCCATTGTTTGAATCCCCATTAGAATAGAGACCATTGTTTTCTTAATCCTCCTTAAATCAAGTAATATCATAGTCTTATTGTGTTTGATTTTGTGAAGACCTGAATTTTTGGTTGACATGAAATCCAAGAAAATTATCTTTTTACAAAAAGTAAACTGAACAAGGAGAAATGACTTGATTCTGAAACTGACTAATTAAAATACTATTTAAAGTTGACTTTCTCTTTCATGATATCTCAATGCATTTAAATCTAACCACATTGTCAAGAATGGTATGTTCACATTACATTATATAATTCAGCCAATCAAATGTTACATTCAGTAAAAGCTGTATCACAACTGATGACTTTGATATCATTATTAGACTATAAGGAAACTTTCAATAAGTTTAGCTGAACCCAATTTAACAAAGGGCATTGTTAGATTTAAAATGAAGACAAAATAAGATGGATACAAGATCCCTTGAAGTGTAAAGAATTGGGTATTTCTGTATAAATAATTTATGTTTCTAATATCTCTTACCTCCCTAATATTTCTAATAATTCAGCAACACCATTATGATGTTCCGTTTCATAAATAAATCTAAAAACAAACAAATAAATTGTCATTTCAAAATATTATTGGGTTAAAATCATAAACTGCAGCACAGTGAATATGACAGATCTCAATATCCACTTCAGCATGGATTCAGAGCAAGGGCAATAACTGCTGCTGTATAATATTCACCAGAAATAATTCTTTTTTAATTCTTCAATTTGTGCTTATAAAGTTTACAATCAAAGTAATCAAATTAAATCTTTTTGACTTTTCTTGATCACTCACTGGAATTGTGCTGGTAATTCTCTTCTAATTAGCTAATTATGAATTAATTATGGACATGTGAGACAAACTGGTATTTTTTCAAGTCATAAGAACACTTTCTATTCATATAAGTATTATCATTTTCATTTTCATAAATGAAAATAAGGGAACCCCATCTTTAAGAGAAGCTATAATCAAAGAAATACTCTCTCTTAGAATGAATGGAAAATTCCACTTCTCAAACTTAGCCAACTTGACTATACACTCATTCATCTTTGGTCCTATCCAGTTTATAAAACAGAATCCCACTATAACCTGATTCATGTAACTAAGTAAATATTATGGATTATTTAAATTACTTACTTGTAAAATATATTATTAATTTGTTTTCTTATATATGCTCTTAAACCTAAAAATTTCCCATAAATACGATGTAAAATAGTTTTTAGAAAATCTCTCTCTCTCGGATCTTCACTATCGAATAAATCTAACAGCTGAAAAAAAATAATCAGAAAATCTTAAATTCCTTGTGTTCTAATTATGATGAGGTTTGCAATGTTTAACTATATGTTAAAACTGAAAACAGTTTCTGTAAAAATTACATATTCATAGCTCAATCTTGTCCAATCAAAATGACCCCTGCTGCCTCGGTAGTAAAATTTCAGCCAATCAAAACAAATCACTTGTTATGAAGCTTTGTTTGCGAACGTAAACAAAACGAGAGCAGCGTGTCATAACATATTTTAATTGATATGGAATTGAGTAAAATCTTTTGAAGCCGAGAGAAAATCAAACCTTGGAATATTTACTTGGGGGCAGCGGCAGAGCCACGTTGTATTTTGTTTACATGACCTCATTAATTTTCCATTCTACCGATCTGATTAATAAGGTTCAAATAGCACCAAACTCATTTCAACACCCACAAAACAAAGTGTAGTGAGCTTAGTTTAATACAGGTTAATAAGACCATGTCAAAATCAACGAGAACATGAGAAATGTGTGTATCTCACATTATTTCATGCTATCGTCTCATTTACACATAAATTTCTAGCTCACTTTAGATTCTTCAGTCTATAAAATGTCTACAATTGAATGAGAATAGAATAATATTGAACATACCTGCTGCACAAACTTTTGGTCAATATATCTTTTGGCCGTATTAGGCTGAAAATCTGGCGATTCCAAAAATCTCAGAAAGAATTCATACACCAACTACAAATAAACAGATAGCTTGTTAGGCAAAGCATTGACCATTCACTACAGCAATTTCAATTCATATTGGTGAAGAAAAAATTAGTCTAAAATAAGAATCAAATCATATTGAATCATAATCATTTTATAAATCTAAATTTCTATGTAGCTTTTGTCAAAACCTATCTAATTTGGAGGTTCTATAGCACAGCAAATGGAGCAAATGGAGGCTGTGGGTTTCGATCTCAATCGATGTGTGCACGTCCGATGACCTCGCATAAGTCATCTTCACTCATAATTCCAGTTGATCAAGCTGTAAATGGGTACGGATAACCTGGGAAAGATCAATGCTAAGAGATTTGGCCAAGGACCAGCTGTTTTTTCGAAAGGATCCTTAGTTGTGAACCTAAGTTGTTATCCTTGTAAAATATAGTTCTTTCTTTCTTATTTTTTAAAATTTTAACCCTTAGCATAAGGCAAAGCCAGTATTAAATGTCAGAACTTTTACCATTATCTTCATCCCAGAAACATGACTTACTTGTAGGTGTGGCCAAGCAGCTTCTAATGTAGGTTCATCTTCTTCAGGGTCAAACTCAGCTCCGCTGGGATTAGAGGAGGGAGGTAAGGTACGAAACAAATTGGTAGCAAACTGAAAATATAGTGTTAAGACGTTTAGATACAAATAACTGAATTTGAGTTTTCTACTGATAATCTGAAAAACCAGTGACCACTTTCTCAAATGATTTATTAGTTAACCAAATTCGGTTAGAATTTTAAGAATAACCGAACTGCATTGAATTTAGGAACAAACCAGCAATTTGATCATTTTATTTATCGTATTAACTGTGAGATGTTAATGGCAACATTTAAGCTTGGTTCATAAGGAGATTATCAAATAAGATTCCTGAAAGGAATACTACGTCTTAGAATGAACATAAAATTTAAGAATTCTAAATTTGGCCAATAAGACCATATATTCATCAGTAGATATACCTGGTGTCATAAATAACATAACAGGATCCTTATATAATCAGATAAATCCAAAAAACTTAGTAATTATTAACAATAAACTATTGAAAACGCTTAATATTAAGATTAAGCGTTTTTCAATAATTACTTAATTTTATGAATTTTCTAGATGTTACAGGGATTCTGTGTATGACACCAGGTAAGTTCACTGATGAATATATACTCATATTGACCATTCTTGAGAACTTAAATTCTATTTTCAAAATTTTCAACTCATTTTAAATCCCACATAATATTTTTGTTCTGGATTTAAGTTGTTTTAGTAATGTTCTTTGAGTAAGCTTAATTTTAACTTGCATGAATCAAAAACTCTTTATATCTTCAAATGATCACATGAAATATTGCACATAATTGAACGACATTTAATATCAATGTGTTAATTAATTTTCTGTTAGTGTTGTATGATGTTCACATGTTCATAATGTTAAGGCGTCATATGCTTTCAAAAAATAAACCCTGTGAAAAACATCCCTCTAGCCCTGAAGGTCAAGATATCATATTTCACGGTTTGTTTTGAAATTTGCTAATTGAAATTATTTTATAACACCTTATACAACAAACAACAGTTGATTAAATGAAATTTTTGGCGTGAAAAATGTCTTGAAATATGTCACGCCATACGCAAAAGGTCAACATCCTGCAAGCAATGGTTGGGAATTAAATAAATGCCAGCCACCCAACTGAACTTAAAGTAAAATATTGTATCCATCTTGGTCATATCTAATGAAGGATCATAAATTTTCATATAGAATCAAAATAAGTGAATCTTGGTCATGGAATAACTATCGTTAACAAGTGGTTGCCAAGCAAGATGTATTCACTTCTCTAATGAATCTGGAGTATATCAAGGGCAGCCGTCAAAGTAAGTCAAATCGTCCCAAGATATTGTTGATCTAAACCCTCACAGTAACACAAAATTATATAAAATTCTGATATAAACTGTCACCTCTATTAAGTTCACAAGCCACATTAAACATAATTTCAGTGTATCAAAGGATGAAACTCTGACACCCTTTGTCAAATCGTACTCAAATTTGAACTTATCCAAGATCTCCTGGATGGAAACTTACACACCAAATTCTATAAACAATCAAATAAAAACTGTGGTCTCTACTGCGTCAACAAGCAACATTTAACATAATTCCAGTGCTGGTTAAAATTCTGATGCGGTTGTCGAATTTTGCCCACATTCGGACTTGTTTCAGATCACATGGATGTAAACATAAGCTTACACACCAAATTCTATAAACAATCTGATAAAAACTGTGGTCTCTATTGTGTTAACAAGCAACAATTAACATAATTTTGGTAGATGTTCGGATAATATAAAATAATGACTCCTACCATATTGATGGCTTCAGGATAAATTGCATCCGTAATAACTCCTCTGTTTTGACTGACATATTCCACCATTTCATTCAATCCTGCCCTTTTCACTTCTTTCCATTTAAGATCACTCAAGGGATCTTGTACAAAATCAAATAAAACACAACATTGGTGAATTTTGTTAATGAACAATTCTTCCCTTTCAGCTGGAGTCGCATCTGAAATGAAATGAGGTCTTATGTCTCACTAGATTGATGAACTTAAAGCAAACTCACTTGTTGAATTTGAGATCAACTGAATTGAGCACAGTCGTTTGCAAGGTATGCTCACTTTTTCTAGTCTGCAACTGGCTTTGCTAACTTGGCCTCACTTTTCAACAATCCACACAACTAAAAATTATTGTCTGAGCAAAGCAAACAAATTTTGAAGACATATTGTGTGATCAGGTTTATATCTTTTCAATGCAAAGACATCCCAAGACTAACAGAACTATTTTGAGGCTGCTATTCCAATTTTCATAAATATAATGTAAAAAATTCCAATTTTTTTAACTTTGCTCAGACAGTAGGCACTTAACCTTTATTTTCATATGCTTGGATCTTTAACCTTGAAACAAGTGGCACAGGGTCTCTGCAAGTGTTCTCAAATCTAACTGTCCCTACACAATACGACAAGTTTGCATGTTGTAACATATGGAATTGTTATTCTTGGTGATCCATTCATTTTAGTAAGATTACATAAAATAAATAAAGCATGAACCTACCCTTTAGTAGCGGTAATTTCTGTAATTCCCTGTTCTTTGTTATATTAAACCGAGATGAGCTCTGACGCTTATCTTTTTTAACATGAGGGGTTCCTGGAAACTTTATTTTGTTTATAGGTGCTGGTGGTGGGTGAACATCATTTGAGTTTTGGGCCTTCTTCTTGGATGCCTAGGTTAACAAAAAATATATTAGTCTACCAACTACTAGCTTTAGGTTCTGAGCCTGTTGCCTTTATTGAATTAAGCCAGATGCTAGCCAGTTAAGGCATGTTTATCCTCACACATATTGCAACTCTTTGATTGGGTTTGTCAACTTGGCATCTATTTCAGGATGTCCACAATAATGTAAGTGTATTTTGTAAAGGCTAAAGCTTAAATATTTTACAATTTAAGACTAGTCAATATAACAGTAAACTCAGTCGGCTTCAAAAAATCTTAGTTCACAATTCCAGTATAAGTGTGATTTGCATATATTTATTTTAGTACCAGTACAATTCAAAATATAAACAGTGCACGTTACTTTATTTCCCTCTAGTTTAAACATATTTCAAGTGCTAAGTTAATATTTCAATATTGCTCTGCACTTAATGAATTGAGTGTTATTTCAACATGAAAATTTTCTTTTTAGTCTTATTTCTTAATATCAAGTCTAAAGATCTTACATAAATAACATAATAACAATAACATAATGACACTCAATAAATATTATCAATAATTCATACTGTTAAACTGTTAATTGGCACAAACACTACTGATTCGAAAAACAACAAATTTTCATAACAAATGTAACTTACATCTGTTTCCGTTTCAGCAGCATCCTTGTTGGCAGACTTCGTATTGGCTGGGGTCTTACCTGGAGGCTAAAATCATAAGATATTTAAAAATCATTAATGGATTGAAGAAGTTATGTGTAATGGGAAACCGAGAGCATCTATTTGCACAATTCTAATATTCAGTCAGATGCCTGCGATTCTTGAAAGTTCGTGAAAACTAAACTATCAGTTGTAATAATATCTAAAGGTCTTTGCAATAAGACATCACAAAATGCCTAGTTTTAGTGAAGACGCAAGAACCACAAACATCTGCCTGAAAATTGAATTGGTGCAAATCAATGTTTAAAGCTTAAGTATCATAAAATAAGCTTACTTATAAAAAGGTACCATACCTTGACAGACAATGTTACATATTGTGCCAAAGGAAGCATATAAGCTTAATAAAATAAAGGCTTAGAAAATTCCTGGTAGGCAATTCATCAACATTAAACTTGTCAGAAATCTCATCAATCTATCAAAATCAGAAGAAAACTCTAGCTTCTATTGTGTCTAACTCCTTCATCCATCAATCTTCATAATGATACCTAATGAAGACAGTCAGTGCATGCTTTGCCATGACGGCTTCATGATGAAAACATTACATGTGTACACGTCAATAATCATTAAGCAACTATTAGAGTACCATATTACCTTAGATACGAATAAAATAGACTAATTAAAAAGGTTGTCAATATGCTCATAGATATCTCTTCCAGTACTGGTACAAACAAATTTAACAACATAAACCAATAAGTGCTTGTGACCTAACATAAATATTATAATCAAATCTTCAAGCAACGGATTAGCCTACACAATGGATAGGATTATGTTTTAGCATATTTCCCTTTACTAGCACAAGCCCCAATACTAAACAATCTAAGACTCTGTTTTCTGCAATACATCCATCGCCAGGCAAATATTAATGATAAATCTTCTCATATATAAGAGCAAAAATATCTCTAACTAGTCCATTAAAATTCAATCGTCTCTTGTTATTTATCACTCTAAGTTTTCAAAAGTAGTACCGTAATTTGAATAAAGTTTACATTTTACAATCCCATTTTTGAGGAATTAGTGTTGTAATACAAGAATATAAGTGAAAGAAGGCACAAACTAAGAATGTGAAAGAGCGGTACAAACTTCAGTAGGCCTATCATCACAGTCAGAAGTCAAAGTTCATGCTCCATTGCTTTGATTACAAGGATTCTTAGCCTTAAACGCAGGAGAAGGCTAATCATAGCCAGCAAAATACCTTTAGCAGAATCACTACCAAAATAAATCCTTGAACCAATGGCCTTGCCATGGGCATTTACCTTTCAAGCCTGACCTGCCTAACTACTTACTTTCCAAGCAAATATATTCTAATCTTGCACTTATTCTTTTGTTTAATTCTTATATACAGTGTATAAAATAAAAAGATATCAAACAAAGCAAACATAGCATTTGTTAAACCAGAAGCAAATATGTAACTGCAAAATGGATTTTCGTAACGGTTGTAATTCAACCAAACCTAACAGTGCAACGGTGAACTGAATAGAATGGAGGGGGGAAGTGGTGTTGACAAGGTGTCCACAAAAACAACTCCTCCAAAACTTAAAGCTTAAAATATCATAATAACTTTGATTACGGCAAATATGTAATGAAAAGAGTAATTACCTTATCCTTTTTGGGTTTATTTGGCATGATCTCTACCCAAATTTCAGACGTAGAGGTAGAGAATTTGTTGATGTTATTATTATTATTATTATAATAGAGAAACTCGATTGCAGTAAATTAAATCATGGCTTCTGATTGGTCTATTTACATCACATGTAATGCTGCATTCCATTCTTCTTCAACAATCTGAGAACACGAGAAATACGATTGGAAAAAATTCGTAAATACAGTTTTAGGATTAAAACTGTGTACAATGGGATATTTGAATAAAAAAACGAATCGCCCTCAAGTTCAACCATGAGGACAAATTGCATTGAAAAATTTTGAACGTAAAATAAGGAGTATATGGCGTCCGTGTTAGCATTTTGCCTCATTTATGACCAATTGGAAAAAAACATTATCTCTAGTTTGTAATTTTATCGAAACTGTAAACACCATGCAGTGCGCAATATGGATATTTACTCCTAGATACACACCATTAACGCGTATCTTTTCGCTTTAAACTGTTGGAGATCTGTAAGGTGTACAGCCTGCAGCACACGGGAACCTGGACTACTGTTCCATCTGAACGACTACTGGACGTTTTTCCACGACAGACTCAAACCCCCTGCCCTCACCAACCTTAGACAAGGGCAATAATCAACAACTTGTCACTTAACAATTTAAAAACAATGAAGATGATGATGACAGTGGAATAAGTGGGGACTACCAGACGAATTTCTGAGATGTTTTTTGAGCAAGTAGATGGTCACCTCAAAATAAGACCTTTCACAGGCCTGGGGAGTAGGAGGGGAACCTTGTAGGCTATTTCTATGGAGCCAGTTTTATTTTGCATATTCTTAAATGACAGAAATATTTAAATTCTGAGCTCACGGGAAGTATATTTTAAACAAATTTTAGAAACGAAACGCCTCAAACTTCTTACCACGAAGTTTCAGCCCCTGGGTACACACTAGATTATAAGAGCCCCTCCCCCTCTTTTTCTAAAGATTCTTTAAATGAAAATGTTAAATGACCTTTGTAGAAAGTACTGAACTGTACTCAGTATAATACAATAGAATGTCAACACCTGAACTTAAACCATTATTTTATAGCCTGGGTGTGAGCAGAAATCAGGGATTAAGATTTAACATTCACTGCTTGCTTCAAGTGAGGTCATTTTTCAAGCGGAGGTCCGATGTGCCAGTACCTCTTGTTGCTTGCTCTGAACTAGGTTTCGATTCTTAGAAGGTAAGTTTTTTTTAGTTTTTTTTAGTTTTTTTTTTATTGATGATACATTTTAAGATTGGTGTTTGTGCTATTCATTTGTGGTTCAGAAGGTCAATATTTTTGCTAACGGTCTGTTAGTCCACTTTCAAAGTGGTGCTTCAAGTCCCACCTTCACCTGCACATTGCGTGCCACTTTTGTATTTACTAAATCGGGAGCACAAGGGTAGGATTTAAATTACAATGCTTTATAATTTTCCATTTTCCAGATTGTTCTTATGAAAAGTCATGTTATATTTTGTAGGTGGCCATCCCATCATGTCTCCAATCTGTTGTGCTGAGATCTTGCTTATGGTTTTGCAATGTTACCGCCCCGCATTGTCTGTGTAAAAGTGGTATTATAAGAGTTGCAATTCCCATGGAATGGACCACTCAAGATGGGTAAGCTTTACTTGTATTCTTTTACTTTTTCCTATCCCCTTTTTTCCTTTTTTATTTTTCTTCACATGGTAGTGACCAAGTACTCATATTAACCCAAACAATCTACCGCTAACACAAAATGCCCATACATGTATTTAGTAGCCT